TTAGTAGAGATGGGGTTTCACCATGTGGGTCAGACTGGTCTTGAACTCCTGACCTCAGGCAATCTGCCTGCCTCAGCCTCCCAAAGTGCTGGGATTACAGTTGTGAGCCACCGCGCCCAGCCCTCTCTCTGTCTTTCTTATTCATTCTGGGAGAAGCCAGCCTCCACATCCTGAGAATACCCAGTCAGCCCATGGAGGGGTCATATGATAAGGAACTGAGGTCTCCACCCATAACCTAAGAGGCACTGCGGTCCACACTGAATGAGTGTGGCAGGAGATCCTGCTGCTCCAGATGACCAAAGCCCAGGCTGACACCTTGAATGTAACCTCTTGAGAAACCCTGAACCAGAACCATGGAGCTAAGCTGCTCCCAGACTCCTGACCCAGAGAAAATGTGAGATAACAAGTTTTTGTTTTAAGCAACTAGGTTTGGGGGTAATTTGTTATGCAAGAAAAGATAACTGACAAAAGGAGTTAGCTAGATAAAGCAGGGGGAGGGGATGGGAGTGCTCCAGACAGGGGGAATGGTGTGAGGTATAGGTCCTCAGGTAGGAGGGAACACAGAACCAGAAGAAACTAAAAGACTAATGCAGCAGGAGTTCAGGGAGCAAATGAGGCCGAAATGTCGTTGGGGTCAAGACCTGCTGGGTGTGGCCTGGGGGGTCTTCCTAAGAAGTTTGTATTAGGATTGGTAAGAAACCAAATTATTGAGGGACCAGCATTAGGGCTCCAAGGAAACCCAGGTATCCTGGCTAGGATAATGTCTCTCTCCCTGCCAGTCCACCAAATCAGTAACTTTGGGTTTTTAGTTTTCCCTACTTAAAGATGCCCTTCAAGGTCTCCAAGGGAAGGGGCAAAGGGAGACGTAGCAAACATCCAGTGTGGTAGGGGTAAGGCTTCTCCAGCTCCAGCCATGCCAGGCAGCCAGGTCCAGCAGAGCTGTGCATTCCTGGCTGGTCAGGACTGGTCCCTCCAGCAGGGGCAAAGCCACAGACAAGGGGCACAGGTCCGGGGAGGGAGCCCACCTCTTGGTCAGTCTTTCTTGGTTCCCAGCTTCCCAGTCTCCCACCCCTTAACCATCAGGAGTGAATTTATACTGTTTTACAAGGACTAGGGCACTTGAACTCTTATTTCATTCTCTCATAGATTTGGTCTAACTGGCCTAATCTTTTTTCTATAGTGAAAAGACTCTAAAGATACAAAATGTCCCCCAAAACAACTTTGCAGAAACCAAAATAAATACAGCATTGAACAGGTCCATTCATTTTGTGAATTGATTATAGAGAGATAATTTATGTTTTTTTTTCTTTTAAAAATACATATTTAAGATAGAGATATAAAAAAAATTACATGATGTTCCATCAAAGAGATACATTCCACCATGATCACGTTATAGGAGCAAAGCCCTAGCCCTAATATAGGAGGGTTGAGTTGATCGGATAAAGAGTCTTTTTTCCCAATCTACAATCCCATATATGTTAAATTTTTAAAAACTACAACAGTTTGTCACTGAACAGCCTTCCTTTTTCTTTTCTCATCTCTAGTCTAGGGGATATTCCCCTCCCTCCTCCTTGCTGTTCCAAGGACAATCAAGAGGGACTGCCTGCTGAGCATTCACCGCTGTCAAAATCCTAATCTAATGCCAGTAGTTCAAGACATCCTTATACAGGGTCACCCACACTAAGAGAGAAGGCTCTGTGTTCTGGAGCCCCTGGACAACACCTGTACAGACCAAGGCCCGCTCCACTGAAGAGCAAGGGACGAATTGGAAGACAGAGCGTGTTGTCAGAACATCAGCACTTGCTCAAAACCACTTCCCAGTTGGGCACATTCATTGGCCTCTCTTTCCCTTGAGTGTGCTTTGAATAGACCACAGGCTGGCTTGGAGGGACAGAAAGAAGGAGAAGAGATGAGCTGTAAATCAGTGTCACCTCCCCCGCTCAGGGTCAGAGGAGAACGTGGGCACCTCCAGGAAGGCCTGGTGTTATCAGACGTGCCTGAGCAGTCATGAGCAGGCGGCTCTGCTGCCCTGCAGCCTGTGGACTCCCCCTCATTCCTCTCTTCTGCAGCATCGAAACAGATGCCCTTGGGAGGGGGAAAGCTCTGACTTCATGGGGGCTCCCAGGCACTCCTTTCTTCAAACAGAACAAAGCCTACTTAGCTTATCACAGCGCTTCTTGTGATTTTTTTAAATTAGCCTCTTCAAATGTGCACTTAACTCTTCTGATATGAAAGTTGTGAGCCCTGTTTTAGCAAGCCTGAAGCTTTGAAGCTGATCCCCATCAGCGTCAACAGAAATCATCTGAATGCTCTAAGTACTGCCAGCGCTTGCTGAAAAATGAAACAGACTACCAGCCTCCTCCTGCCTGTGTCCTTGGCCCAGCCCTGGTGGGGCAAAGGAGCCCCAAGGACCCCATTGTTCTTTGGAAAGAAAGAAGCAACTCCAGCCAGTTCAGGTGTTTGGGGGATTATTGAGATGGTCTTTTTTTGTAGATACAATGTGGTTGGTGAATAGGGTGAGTTATATAGGGGACTCTATGATAGTGACATTTGAAAAGATTTGAAGGGGGAACTGAAACTAGTTTCTGTGAGCCCAGAGTTTTAATCAGCCAGCACATGCTAGAATTTGCTACCACTAGTTTTATTTTCTTCCAGAGACCTTCACATTTTCTGTGAGTAATGGGATGCTGGGGAGAAAACTTATAGACAAAAATATGAGATTGAAAAGGTAATGACAACTTGGAAAAGATCCGCACTGTTGGCTGGATTAGCTGTGTGGAAAGGGGTATGTGAATGATGAGGGTTAAAGAGAGAAAAACAGGCAAAACCAAACAAGGCCCCTTGCAAACAAAGTTAAGATGGTTTTTGGATTCATCTGACCTCCTACGGGTTTCGCTTGTTTAGCTTAACATTAGTCCCATCTGCCAGAGCTTGGCGGCAAGGTCCTTAGGTGTTTAATTGTTCTGTGAGACCCTGGAGCAGGGTGAGAAGTGGCCTGGTGTCAGAGTAGAGCAGTTGGCCTATCACTGAAGGTCGTGGTTCTTTTCTCTACGCATGTTCCATGTAAGTGAGTAGTAAAAGGATATGCTTATCTCCTTCCTTTATTGTAGCCGTCCACAAAGTTCCATTTCCTGCTTGAAACCTCTGACTCAATGGCTAGAGGAACCCTCCCTCACCCCTCCCCTCCTGTCTATGCTGGCAACTTTTGAGCCACCTCCTTGGGTCACCACCTTGCAGAACACGCCAGATCCATTGCTTTTACACACTGCCGTTTACCTCTTGTTTATTTTGTGTATGCAGGTCACTTGTTGTTTAGGTTAGATTGAAGTCTGGTGGCCAGGCACAGTGGTTCACAACTGTAATCCCAACATTTTTGGGAGGCTGAGGCGAGCGGATCACAAGGCCAGGAGTTCTAGATCAGCCTGACCAACATGGTAAAACCGTGTCTTTACTAAAAATACAAAAAAATTAGCCGGGCATGGTGGTGTGCACCTGTAATTCCAGCTACTCAGGAGGCTGAGGTAAGAGAATCGCTTGAACCCGGGAGGTGGAGGTTGCAGTGAGCTGAGATCACACCACTGCACTCCAGCCTGGGCGACAGAGCAAGATACCATCTCAAAAAAAAAAAAAAAAAGATTGAAGTCTGAAAGATAGTATACCATATCCACATAAACATTTAATATTAACATTGTTTTCTTTTTGATGTAACATTCGGCTTCAGCCTAGGAGGCACCCTGAATGATCCAGTCTTGGGAACCATCAGAGCTATTATTATTATTTTGCTTATTTATTTATTTACTGAGACTGAGTCTCACTCTATAGCCGAGGCTGGAGTGCAGTGGCATGATCTCAGCTCACTGCAACCTCCATCTCTTGGGTTCAAGTGATTCTCCTGCCTCAGCCTCTCGAGTAGCTGAGATTACAGGCAGGTGCTACCAGGCCTGGCTAATTTTTGTATTTTTGGAGACGGGGTTTCACTATGTTGGTCATGCTGGGATTACAGGCGTGAGCCACCTTGCCAGACTATTATTATTATTTTAAAGAATAATCACTTAATGTGGATTTTGCACATCTACTGCATTTGATCCCTTTCTGAATAGTTTTCACTGTTTTATATTATTGCTGTACTTCACAATACAGAAATTTTGGAAAACAGAGAAACACTCTCTGGTGTATACACTTTTAGTATTTTTTCAGTGCATATAGATTTATTTTCCGTTTTCGGCAATAATAGTATACAGTTTGTTTTACACTGTATACTATTAAACTGTATATTTACTTTAGTAATAGATTATGAATGTATTCCCATGCTACTATAGAAATTATAATGGCTGCGTAATATTACATTATATAGATTTATATAATCAATTCTCCATTATTGGACTTTTATTTATCAAACATTTATATAAGCACTTACTATGTGCCAAGCATAGTTCTAAGCTCCAAATAGATACTAACTCATTTAACTCTCACAATAGCATTATGAGGTAAGTAATATTTTTATCCCCATTTTGCAGGTGAGGAAATTGAGTCACAGGCTAAATAACTTGTCCCAGGGCACACCTCTTTGTAAGTGATGGAGCCAGATTCAAACCCAGACAATCTGGCTCCAAAGTCTGTGCTGTAATCACAGCCCTCTGCTTGCCTCCCTCTACCTCTATTGAAAAGTAAAGACCTTCCTTTACCTGGGAGAATAGCTTAATCTTCATAAGACTTCCCTGGCAAATAAGGGAACTGCTGTCCTGTGAGTCACTATTATTTATAATTAAATCTTAAGCTGCTGAGACAACAGGCAAAGAAGCATCTGGGCGGGATGGGCGGTGTGAGCTCTGCAACCCGGAGAGGGTGACTCCAGGAGAGGCTGTAGACTTGGATCCAACAAGCCTGAGGCCCGGGTTACTCACCCACTGGCAGAACCCAAGGGGCTCCAGCCTCCTCTGAAGCTACTGTAATTTCCTCACACCCAACTGAGAAGATATTTCCTTTGCATTCTGCTATAGGAGCTGCTGCATCTGACCCAAGCTGGCCTGGAGAAGGGAGGAAGAGGCAAGGTAGGAAGTGGCCTGGCCCCCTGCTGCTCTGCCCCAGAATGCAGGGCAGAAACTGCATCTGGAGCTGTGGTGTGGTGTGGATTCAGCCTACAGAGTGACTTCTGGGGCAGCGCCTGGAGTGTGTGGGAATCCTTTGATTAACCTGCAGAAGCTCCAGGGTAGTTGTTTCTGGGTGACTCTAGGATCCTTATTCATCGCAGCCTTGAGACCGGGCTTTGGCTTCAGCCACCTCTTTGTTATCTCTCTCTTCCAGTAATGACAATATGATATCATAGCTGACCATAACTGTTATGTCTGACATTTAATTCATTCTAACTCATTAAATTCTCACAACAGCGCTATGAGGTAGAACGATGGTTACCATAATTATTCTTATTTCAGTGGTGGAGAAAGGCAGCCACAGGGAGGCTGAATCATCTGCCATAGAGGGGAAAGGGTTTCAGGTACTGGGAGCACCACAAGGTTGTGACCTTGACTTGAACCTGTGTCCTGAACAGACCCTGTGAAGGGAGCTGTGGCTGGAGGGGAAACTGCAGCTGAGCCACCTTGCTCCTCTTATCCCTACTGGGAGGAGAAGTTTTAAACAAACAATTGGCATTTGACAGGGGAGTGTTAGAGCTGGAGGTGGTCAGCAGTTGTATTTTATTGAAGCACCTTGGCAGTCATTTGCAGGGCTGGTAGCAGGTTTACATGACAACATTCCTGCTCTCTTCCTGGGAGGTCTGTCCGTTTTCCTTAATTTCCTCATTTACAAGGGAGGCTGGAACACAGACACCTACATTCAAAGTCAATGTCACAGGGTAAATGGGTCCAGGGAGGCATGATTATCACTTCAGTCCTAAGACCTGCCCCTCTAAATGCTTGAGATGGAGATGCTTACATACTACCCAGTCCATGAAGTTCTTTTCCAAGCAGAAACTCCACACCTTGGGTTCCCACCTGGGTCAAGACTCCACCCTTTTCTCTTAAATATGGAAGCAACCTGGGTGACACTGGCACCAGCTCAAGTCAGACTTCCCACTCTAGGAAGGTCATTGACCTAATTTGATAACAATGTATAGAAAAGATGCTTTAAACAGAACTAGCTAAAGCTTGGCAAAAACTGACTTTCCTGCAGCTAAATGCATGCTAGCATGTACCTATTGAGTTTTGGAGCAACTACCTCCTAGGAATGTGTGTGTACTTTTGTCTTAGGAAAAAGAAAAGATACGTGGTTTTATCTGCCATAGTCCTTGAAGATAAGTAAACCATGAAAATAAAAGTGCAATGTCTAATAGGCTTTTAAAAATAAGAAGAATTTCTGCTCTCCTAGTTGGAGCCACAGTAATGTTATTACCTTGAAAAATGAGGCAGACCCCTGACTTGGCCTTCTACCATCTATTCCCCCACCATAAATAGACAGATCACTTAAAGTGCAGTAGATCATGTCACATTCCTGCCTCAAAACTTGCAAGGACTTCCTTTCACACCCTGATGAGGTCCACACTCCTCACAGGGCATTCATAAAGCACCCCTGACTCTGGAGATGCCATGCAGTGTAGTATAATAGCTAAGTGTTCCATGGCTATGGCACCAGCTAGAATCCTGGCTCTGTCCCTTACTAGTGGTGTGACTTTGGCCAAGTATCTCTACTTCTCCAGGTCTTTGTTTTCATTTATAAAATGAGAATAGCATTACCTACCTCATAGATGTACGTAATAAGTGCCCAACAGCCATCTCAGCTGTTTTTATTCTTACTTTTGACCTAATCGTCTCTACTTTCCTCACCCCCAGCTCATTACCCTCCAGTCACAGCAGACTTCTTTCTATTCCTCAAATTTACCAAACTCATGTCTACATGTGGACTTTTGCCCTAGAGTGTCTGAAACTGTCTGCCCACACCCATTCCCACCCAGGCCTGTGAGCTGCTGGTTTCTTTTCATTTTCAGGTTCCAACTAAAGGCACCTCCACAGAGAGTCCTTCCCTGACCACCTATTCCAAATTAGCCGTGAGTCTCTCGCTAGCCCTGTGCTACCCTGTGGAAATTTCTGTGATGATGGAAATGTCCTGTATACCACTAACCACTAGCCGCATTGGCTATTCAGCACCTGAAATGTGGCTATTGTGAACTGAAGAACTGAATGAATTTCACTTAATTTTAATTCATTTAGACTTAAATGTAAATAACACATGTGGCTTCTGTATTAGACAGTGCAGCTATAGCCATTACCTGCCTTGTGGCACTTGTCACTCCCTGGACTTGTCTTGCTGATTCATTTGTCTGTTGTTTGTGGTCTGCCTCCCCTAACCAGAGAGTAAGGTCAACAGAAGTGGCGGGGGGCCTTATGCACCTTGCTCACTGCTGTGTCCCCCTATGCCTAGGAAAATGTCTGCGTCTTTGTGGAGGCTCATTAAGATTTGTTAGATAAATAAATGAATGGGCATATAAAAGCACTCTGTAAATCAAAACACGTCATATAAATGTAGTATATTGTCATTATATGTATATATAATTTGAAAGTCTGCAGGAGTATCTCTCTTTCTTTTTTCTTTTTTTTTTTTCTTTTTTTAAGAGACAGGGTTTCACTCTGTCACAGAGGCTGGAGTGCAGTGGCACGATTATAGCTCACTGCAGCCTCAAACTCCTAGGCTCAAGCAATCCACTGGCCTTAGCCTCCGGAGTAGATAGGACTACAGGTGTGTACCACGACACCTGCTAATTTTTACTTTTTTTTTTTTTTTAATAGAGACAGAGTCTGGCTTTGTTTCCCAGCCTGGTCTTGAACTCTTGCTTCAGGCAATCCTTCTGCTTCAGCCTCCCAAACTAGTGAGATTACATGTGTGAGCCACCGTGCCTGTCTGTGTTTCACGTTTTAAAAATCCCTAATACACACACGGAGTTGATCGTTAAATGCCAATAATTTTTAAAAGTTGTTTTCCTGTTTGGAATGTATTTTTTATTTCTTCAGGTGAGACCCCCTCACCACACAGGTAATATATATAATCTGTAGTCCCTCTGGAAACTTAAGGAGGGCCTGGCCTGATTACAGTTCCAATTCTAGGTGACTTCTGAGCAACTGTCTTCGGGTTGAGTAAAGCAGGGCACACTTGTGAGCTCTTCTGCCTAGCACAGGCCGTGGTGGCCGGCCCTGGACTGCAGAGGGTAGGAGGCTCCCTTTGCCGGCCCCTGGGCTGTTCATCTGCTGCCCAGAGACCACTGCTTCGGGCTTGACCGGGATCAGGTCTGAAGCCTCTGATGTGTGTGGGCAGCTGCCATTCTATCGTGAAAACGTGAGTTTTCCTAAGGGGATTGCAGTATTCTGGAAATTAAAAACAAGGTGGGAGCAAGTCATCGCCTTCCTGTGGGAGTAGCTGAAGCTCAGTTGTTCTGAAATACAATGCCTGGCGCTCCTGGGAGGGCCGGGACCTGGCCTGTTCCATACCACTGGGTGGTGTGCAGTTTCCAAAGAGGGCTGGGGCTGTTATCTGACCTCCTGTCTTAATGAAGTGCTTTGGCTTAATGTCTGCCACTGATAGAGCTCGTGACTGGAGCAGCAGAGTCAAATTGAAGACAGAGGACATCCTCCCACTCCCACCCCCATCCCTACCTGGGCCTGAGCCCAGGAACTCCACGGGCACAGACTCACTGCCACTTCCAGTGCTCAAAGCCAGTTGCAGGGTCTGGGAACCAGGCTCAGCTTGCTGTGGACCTCCCCTGACCTGGGCCTGAGCTGATAAGTTGGGGGCAAAGTCAGGAGACAGTTGGGCTGAGGTTGTTTTTAAGACTACTTGCCGGATTTGGTGGCTCATGCCTGTAATCCCAGCACTTTGGGAGGCTGAGGCAGGCAGATCACAAGGTCAGGAGTCCAAGACCAGCCTGACCAACATGGTGAAACCCCGTCTCTACTAAAAATATAAAAATTAGCTGGGTGTGGTGGCATTCGCCTGTAATCCCAGCTACTGAGGAGGCTGAGGCAGAAGAATTGCTTGACCTGGGAGGCAGAGGTTGCACTGAGTCAAGAGTGCGCCACTGCACTCCAACCCGGGTGACAGAGTAAGACTATGTCTCAAAAAAAAAAAAAAAAAGAAAAGAAAAGAAAAATAAAAAAGACTCCCCTATGGCCCCATGTGCTTGGATTTCTTGTCAAGGCTCTCCCTCCCGACCTGCCTAACTTGCCCCTCCACCGCATACCTAGGCACACATTTTCTTCCCATAATATCAGACCCGAGATTCTCAGAACGAGTACAGGGCTTATTCATGGGGGCGCAGCTTCAGGAAGGGGCCTGCTGCCGTGGTGTGCTGTGCCTGGGGCATAAAGCGTGCAAGGGTAGGTGTGCTGGGCCCGAGACTTTCCACCATGAGAATTTCATTTCCACAAGCCCAGTGGGTGGATTGATATCTTTAGGAAGGTGAGGTTTCTTTTGTGGAGAAAGCACCAGGAGCAGTGTGTCCACTCCCAATGCCACCCCCAGCCACAGGCTCCTGGATGGCCAAGGTTCTTCGTAACATTCACCCAGCCCTTCTCTGTGTGAGGCCCCTGCCTGGAGCACGGCCAGGTCCCACCTCGCCCCTGAGGGTGGCTCACGTGTTCTTGAGGCAGGTACCAGGGGGATGACTGGCCACTCAGGGACGCAGGAAGTGGCTCTTCTGCATGGCCTGCCTGGTGAGTCACCTGGAGAATGCTGGGCCCAGGGCAGTCCTCCCAGTCCCCAAGGTCTGTAGATACCGAAAATGAAGACGGAATCATCCTTGGACAGAGGCTCAGGGGCAGGGCTGGAAGTGGGCAGAGTGGGGACAACGAGGGCCACCACGTAAAAGAGGCCCCTTGTGGCCCTGCTCGGCCCCGGTCACAGATGGTGCTTTTGGTCTGCACAGCATCTCTTTTGTCCCAGTGGCTTCATTTTTTTCCTGCTTTTTATAAATGCTTGCTAATTCGGCTTTATCTTTTTCAAAATAATACGTCATTGTGAAGAGATGTCCCCTGCCAGGCGTCTTTAGGGCTTTTCTCACAGCCCAGCA